TACGCCGGCGGGATGGGAAGAGCAAGGAAGGGCGTGGCGCTGGAAGGGACGACGCACTCGCACACAGATTTCACTGCCAGGGGGCGGTGAGGGGCGATTGCGAGGAGAGGTGCTGGAAAGAGTCTCGGCGAAACAGGCGCCCCCCCTTCCCCCCTCCCCCGCAAACAGCTGCGACGTGAGGAGTCCCATCTCGGCTACTCTCGGGTGATCAGGCGCGCCTCCCCGGCGAACAGCCGCGAGTTGATGTGGCGCTCCGTCGCCCAGATGACATACCGCGCCTGCGGGGAGCACGGCGCCGCCGAACGTCGCTGGTGGTGCCGCGGGGCGGCGGCCGTGCGGCGGCGCGGCGCGCGTGCAGCCCGATCAGCAGCCGGATGGGCATCGGTCCATGGAAGTACTCGCCTGGGAGTACGGCAGGGGAGGAGGCGTGGGCGTGTCACGGACGCGCCGTGGGCGTCGTGGGCGCGGCACGGCACAGAGGCGGGCGGCCGCGTCGGTGTGTGCTCAGTGTGTGCTCGTCGTGGGAAGCTCTTCGTGTGATGCTCTTCTGTGGGAGGGCTGGGCAATCTCTCTCGACCGCCCATGGGCTGCCTCGGCTGCTTGTCGGCTACCTGTCGGCTCCTGTGCTCGCTCCGTCTCGTGCATCACCTCGACTGCATCTCGGCTCTATCTCGACTGCATCTCGGCTACGTCTCGTCTCCACGTCGCGCAACAGCACGCGGGGGAGGAAAGGAGGAGATGGAGGAGGTGCGGTGGTGGTGGCGAAGTGGGTGGCAGAGGAGGCGGCGACGATTCGGAAAGGGGGGGGGGGGGGAGGGCGAAAGGGCACCTCGGTGGAAGACCTCGACAGTCTCGTCCTCGCGACGCTTGTACCTGGTTGGAGAGGCGCGCTCGGGCCGGGGGTGAGCCAGCGCGCGGCCCAAGGTGTGCTGTTGAGGGGAGGGGGAGGGGGAGGGGGGAAGGGGGGGGGGGGGGGGAAGGAACACTTGACGGAAACAATCAGGGATTAACTAATAGAGCGGTCAACTAACTAATAGAAGCGGTCAGAGACCTCAAGCGCAAGCCTGAAAGCTAACCACTCCATAAGGGTGTGTGAGGGGCGCCGCGGCGCCGCGTACGCCGTGCGAACAGGCAGAGCAGGAGGTGGCGGGGCGGCGGCCGTTCATGGGCCAGGGGTGAGGCCCCAGGAGTGCGTGCAGTACGAGGGTCGGTGCTGTGTGTTCTCTCGGGACACCCGTAGCACTGCACTTGATCCCAGAGCAGGAAGGAGGTGAGCGGGATGAAGTTCTTGAAGCGCTCGCGCTTCTGGAAGAAGCCGACCACCCCGTCGTCATCCTCCTCCTCCTCGAGCGTGAACGAGATCTCCATGGACTGCGGAGGCGAGGCGGGACAGTGAGGCCGCCGGCGGCGCTCACGCAAGGCGTGCGGCTGCGGCTCAGGCGGAGGAAGGGAGGCGGGGATGGGGTAGGGCAGGCGCGGCGCGCGGCCGGGTGCGCTGAGAGACGTGTGCGCACGCGAGCTGCCCCACCACGGGCGGCCCGGCTTCGCGCGAGGAGCCCGAGAGAGGGCTTTCGAGGCGCCTGGTAGACGGTGTTTGTGTTCTCCTTCTCGAGGTCCCAGACCACGCCCGCGAGGACGAAGTGGAGCGCGAAGGGGAAGATGCCGAGGATCTGCAGGAAGTCCTCCGTCGAGTAGAAGTCGATGATCGCGTCCGGATCCTTGTCTGTTATGAACGAGTAGTAGAAGAAGTCCTCGCCCGACATCATCGGCATCGCAGTGAGCGCGCCGGCGCCAAAGGCGGCAGCCGACCGCGTGAAGACGACCTTGCCGAGCAGCGAGCCGCCCATGCGGGCCACGGACCCCAATCTCCCCAGCACAGACGCCATCGGACAGCTGTGGCAGCGGGCGGCTGGCCGACGGTCGGTGCCGTCGCCGTTCCTCGCCGGCAGAGGGGAATCAGCGGACAGAGGAATTTGCTGTGAAAGCGTTCCAAAGCGACCAGAGGCCGTCATCGCATGTTGCTGTCTCTCCCTTCTCGACTGTCTGTGCTTGTGTGTCTTGGGTCCGGTGTTGGTTGCCGAGGGGACTCACCTGAAGCTGAGCCGCACTCTCCAAGGATGTAGGATCAAGCCTTGATTCTTCCACAGGTCACAGCTGTGCATCGCCGCGGCTGTGAAAGGTATTCGTGCACGTGGGCATGGCCGACCTCTCGACACCGCTCTCGCCTGCTCTCTCACGCCCCCGACCGCTTCGCGGAAGCTCGTTGCTTGCGCCGCTGCCGCACCGCATCCTGGTGCTGCTTCTTGTACGCCTGCCGCGCCTCGCTGCGGCCGCGCCGCCAGTTGCGCAGCAGCTCCTCCGCCGGCGCGGTGCGCATGAAGGGCTCTTCCTCCGCCGCCGCCCACGGAATCGCCTCGGAAGCGGCGGCCGCGGGCGGTGCCGCGGCGGCGAGATCGGCGGCGGCGGCGGGCGGCGCTTCGGCGGTGGTGGCGGCGGCGGTGGCCGTGGGGTCGCCAAACGTGAAGGAGAAGGCTTGCTCGGCCGAGTCTGCCTCCGTCCCGCCCTCCGTCCCTCCCTCCGCCCCGCCGACCAAGCTGGAGAGCGCGAAGCTGCCGCCACTGCTGCCGCCGACAAAGAGGCCGCGCAGCCGAACCCGGCCCGCCACGGCCGGCGCCGCGCTCGGCTTCTCCGACACTGTCGCTCCGCTCGACGCCGCGGCGGCGCCCTCCGAGCCGCCCTTCGCCGCCGCGCCGCGCTTCTTTGCGGGCCTGTCTGGCGGCACTGCAGCGCTCGCCGCCGCTCGCTTGCTGCCCGCCTTGCCCTGCGGGAGGACGCCGTCCTGTGCGCCCTCCTCTGCTGCGGCCGCTGCCGACCCCTCTGCCGCCGGGCGCGCTCGCTCCTCTGCTCGTCTCCCCGCCCTCTCTGCCGCTCGCTTGGCCGCGGCCGGGACAGCAACAGGGGCAGCAGCAGGGGCAACAGTAGGGGCAGCAGTAGGGGCAGCAGCAGAGGCGGGAGGAGTGGGGCGCGACTTGCCTCGCGCGCCGGAAGGGCGAACGAGCGGCGAGTCGCCCTTCGGCGGGGAGTCGCGCGCCGGCGGCCGGCCGGGCGCGGCTTCGAGGGTCGGGCCGTGGCCCTCCCCCTCGTAGGGCTGGCCGCCCGAAGCCTCCCCCTCAGAGCCGCGCGCCCCCCCCTCCAGACGGCACCCCCCCTCCGGCCCGGCGGGCGGACCCTCCGACGGGTCGAACTTTGCTCCGAGCTGCCAACCGTCGGCGCTGCCCCACGCGCCCCACCGCCGCCGCTGCTCCGCGCTCCGCTCCTGCCGCTGCTGCTCCCGCTGCGCCTCCTCGGGCGGCTCGCCTGTGAGTTCATAACGAACCTGTGAGCAATCCTTCATTCGGCTGCCCCTCCTCGCGCGGCTCGCCGAGCAGCTCCGCCAAGACGCGCAACGAACCAGCCACCTCCGCCGCCCTCCTCTCCGCGTCCAGAGCTGCCTCCTCCTCCGCCGCCGCCTCCGCTGCTGCGCCGCCACCGCCACCGCCATCGCCACCGCCGCCGCCGCCGCCGCCGCCACTGCCGCCGCCGCCGGTGCGATCGCGTCGCCTCCCTCCGCGTCGCCGTCGTCCTCGTCCCTCGCCCCGCCCTCGCCCTCGCCCTCGGTACCGCGACAGGCACCCAAAGGAGTCGCGCTCGCAGAGGAGACGGCAAACCCTGACGCCCCGCCCTGAGACGCCCCGCCCTGCCCCGACGCCCCGCCCTGCCCCGACGCCCCGCCCTGCCCGGTCCCCGTCGTCCTCTCGCCCCGCGCGGCGCCCTTGGCCCGCACCGCCCGCCGCCGGAGCGAGGCGAGCGAGGTGGTTCGCACAAAGGCCGCCGCCTCCTCGGCCTCGTCGAGCAAGGCGGCCTACGCGAGTCGGCAGAGCGTAGTGCGTGACCACACTTGTCGCCAGCGAAGCCTCCTCGCGAGTCTGCGGCCGCCTGGACAGCCACCTGGACACCGCCGCCAAGCCTCCTCTTCTCGGCGCGTGGCGCCGCCGCCGGCCGCACGGGCTTCGCCTGGCCGTCCTCGTCGCCGCCACCGCCGCCGGGGAGGGGCGGACGGGGGGGGGGCTCGTCGGCGGGGCCCTACAGGTGGGGACACGGCACACTGCCGCGGGGCAGCAGTCGGTAGCTTGCCAACAGCAGCACAAGGCGATGCCTCGCCCGCGTCGCCGCCCTCGCTGCCGCCCTCGCCCTCGCTCTCGCTGCCGCCCTCGCCCTCGCCGCCCTCGCTCTCTCCGCCGGCCGCGTCGCTGCCGCCGCCCTCGCCGCCGCCCGCGTCGCCGCCCGCGTCGCCGCCGCCGCTGTCGCCGCCGCTGTCAGCATCGCTGCTCTCTCCGCCGCCAAAGGCTCCGAAGGCAGCCCAGAGCTGGCTCATGCCGCCGGCCGTCCCGCTCTCGGCCAGCGGCCGCCGCGCCTCGGCCGCCGCGCCGACCCGCTCCGCCCCCCTCGCCTCGCCCGCCGGCGCACCCTTCCCCGCCGCCAGCTTCTCGGCCCGCCGCCCCTCCGCCTCGGCCTGCAGAGGCGGGAAGCTGCGCCTATGCCGGTTGCTCTTGCCCGGCGTCGCCTCGACGAGGTCGAGATGCCGGCTCGGCCGCAGCCGCAGCGTCGCGGCCGGGTCGTGCGCTGCTGGTCGTTCTGCGGCGGCCGCGGCGGCGGCAGCGCCAGCAGCAGCCTCTTCCGCTCGCCTCTGCTCCGCTGCCTCCTCCCACTCCCGCTTGAGACGCGTCATGTAGTCCTCGCTGGCGGGAGCGACGGCGAGCCGCTTGCCGCGCCATCGCGTGCCAGTGTACGCCTTGATGCACCGCGCCACCTCTGGCGGAGCTGCGTGCAGCGAGACATACCCGAAGCCGCGGCAAGCGCCGTCGGCTCCCCGGATCACGCTGGCTTCGCGCACCTCGCCGAATGGCGTGAAGCGCCGTGCGAGCTCGGCGTCGCTGACGTCTGATGGGAGGCCGTCGATGTGGAGCCGATGGGCGCTCGGGCCCGCGCGCTCGAGGCTCTCCTCGAGGCTCTCCTCGACGTCGACCATTGCAACTCCTATAAAAAAACGTTGTTTCATAACATCGAAGGCTAAGCTCATAAAAAAACACGCGTTCGTTTTTTTCTTTTTTTCTAGCTTTACGTACCGTCTGAGGGGATTTTTTCTCCCATCCTCCCTCGTCTTGTTCCGGCGGCACTGTCCCCTGGAACCCGGACCCACCAAGCACGTCATGACGGACGCAGGGGAGAGTGCAGCGACGGCGAGCACGGTGGCAGTGGCAGCGATGCACGCTCCGCGCTCACCGAAGCGGCCCGCTCCCGCCGACGACGCGGCCGACGGCTATGTCAAGCTGATCGGCGGCACGCCATTCCCGGAGGCGCTGCAGGAGCAGCGCGAGGCGGGAGACTTTTGTGACGCGGTCATCATGGCTGGCGGACAGCGCTTCGTGGCCCACCGCGCGGTGCTGGCGGGCACGTCGCTTTACTTTCGCGGGATGTACAAATCGATGATGGCGGATAGCCACGACGCGCACACACTGCCGGCCATCTCGGCGGACTCGTTTGCCGCCATGCTGAGCTGGATGTACAAGGGCCGCTGCGTGCTCGGGTCGAACGACGAGCTGGTGCCCGTGCTCGAGGCGGCGAGCCTGCTGCAGGTGCACCCGCTGCGCGACACGGCGGCCGTCGCCATCGCCAAGCGGCTGACGGCCGACAGCTGCGTGGGCGCGTGGGACCTCGCGGAGCGGCTCTCGCTCGATGCGCTGCGCGACGAGGCGCGCACCGCGTGCCTGGCGTGCTGGCCGGAGCTGCGCGCCGCGCCCGAGAAGCTGGCGACGATCAAGCTTGACCGCCTCGCCGACTTGCTGGGCGACGACTGCCTCAAGGTGCAGGAGGAGGCCGAGGTGCTCGACGCGATCGACGCGTGGGTCAGCGCGCAGAAGCCGTCGGCGCCTTCGGAGGAGGCGGTCGCTCGGCTGGTCGCGCAGGTGCGATTCCCGCTGCTGAGCGCGGAGCAGTGCACGCAGGCCGCCAGCCAGCCGTGCATGCAGGGCGCCGCCGCGATGAAAGCCGCGTTCCTGTCGCTGGCCACTCGCAAGGCAACGGAGCGGCAGCCTTGTTGGCTTCAGGAAGGTGGCGCGCCTGGGGAGTTCGTGTGGTCGATCGCGCAATTCTCCGCACTCGAGGAGCGGACGGATTCGCCCATCTTCGAGTACGCGGGCATTCGCTGGTGCCTCCTAGTCTTCCCGAGAGGTAACAAGGCGGACTCCCTTGCGGTCTACCTCAAGGCCGTCGACGCGGCGACGAAGCCCTGCGCAGCCAGCTTTTGCTTCACCATCCCAAGTGCCAAATCGGACAAATCGGTCACAAAGGATAGCGAGCACAAGTTCGAGTCGGACAAGATGGACTGGGGCTTCCGTGAGATGATTCTGCTTGCCGAGCTGCGTGACCCGGAGTGTGGCTACCTCGCTGAGGATAAGCTCACCATCTCGCTGAAGATCCGCAACCCGAGGCTCCTCGACTCCGCGTAGGCTCAGGCGCGTTGGCGGCACGTCGCAGTCGAATCGCAAGGTGGACAGAGCAGAGAGGTGGCAGGGCGAAGACGGGACCATGCGGCGGGACAATAGCGGGACAACATTTGGCGGGACTCGTGCGTTGGGACTGCGCGTTGGCAACTTGCATGGCATGTGTGCAACGGACGGGGACGCGGATCGCGGTGGAAGAGCGGGCGGCTCGCTTATGCGAGCTGGCATGTGATTCGAACACGGTGACACATATGACACATATCACGCGGCGCACCTGAGGTGACGAGTTCTCGCCGCGGCATTCGAGGTAATCCTCAACCCCCCTTTCCCCACCTGGACTGGCCTTGGCCCGAGCCTCCGCTGGCCAGCTTGCCCCCGCCGCCGCCGCAGCCCGCCCGCCGCCGATGAGGATGACACCCGGGCGCGCGTCGCGCGATCGCGATGCCGATGGTACCTGTGCCATCGGCGCCACCACGAGGTCGATTATAGCCATTTCATGGTAACGCGCCGCGCGCGGGGCTGCCTTAGAGCTTAGTTTTTTTCGTTTAGCGTCTCGCCAATCCTTTTTGCAAGCTTACACGGGCCCAGTGCCTTGATGAGTGACTTTCCAAGCTGCAGAACATGTGCGGGCCAGCGCGCAGCGGCCATTCTCTGGTAGGACGGGAACGAGATGATAGTAGGGAGTAGAAGAAAGCAAAGAGGAGCCCTGCGCACGCACGACTCCGCAGGAGAAACCCCTCCCGCCCGTGCTTGCGCAGCGCGGCCAGCGCCTATATGACGCTCAAGGAGTGAGGCGCGGACAGCGCCGCGCGCGGAGCGCGCCCCAAGGAAAATTTTGAGTGTTGTGGAGGGCTGATGCGATTCTGTTAAGAGTTTGACTCACACGCTAGGAACCACTCGGCCCACCCACAGGCCCCGAATACGGAGTCCAAAATGTTGTGACACTCAGCGTTCTAGCCTTCTACCACATATTGTGCGGGGCCGGGGGAGGGGGGGGGGGCAAAAAAACAGGCTACCAGAGAAGCAAGTCCAATTATGCACCACCTCATGGCCCCGGCCTGCGCCGTCCACGCTCAGAGCGACCACTCACATCTTGAGCTCGAACCCCACCCGCCCGCTCACCGCATCTCGAATTACTTCCTTCCCGTTGCCGTTGCGGCCAAAGAACGTCGAGAACCTCTTCACCTTGCCGTCGATGTTGTTGCAGCGGAGATCGATGCTTTGCAGCACCGCGTTGCCTCGCAGAGCCTCGGCGATCGCGATGGCGCCCGTGTTGCCGATGTTGTTATAGTAGAGGTTGAGGTTCTTCAGCACCGCGTTGCCGCGCAGCGCCTCGGCGATCGCAGTGGCGCCCTCGTCGCCAATCTTGTTCCAGTAGAGGTTCAAATCGGTCAGCATCTCGTTGCCCTGCAGAGCCTCGGCGATCGCGGTGGCGCCGGAGGGGCCGATGCCGTTATAGCTGAGCACGAGGGTGGTCAGCACCGCGTTGCCTCGCAACGCCTCGACGATCGCAGCGGCGCCCTCGGCGCGGATCTGGTTGTTGTAGAGGTCAAGAGTTTTCAGCACCGCGTTGACGCGCAGAGCGGAGGCCAGCGCCACGGCGCCCGCCTCGTCGATGCCGCTGCGGGCGAGGTCAAGCGCGGTCAGCACCCCGCTGCCGGAGACGTACTCCGCTAGCACCTTGGCGACCTCCACGTTGATGCCCTGCCGTGAGAGGTCCCATGACTCGATCTTGTTCTTTTTGTTGTCTCGCAGCGCCGCGAAGATCGCGCACCAGCCCTCTGCGCCAATCGAGTTGCCGCTGAGGTTGATGCTTTTCAGCACCGCATTGCCCCGCAGCGACTCGGCGATCGCTAACGCAGCGGCGCCCTTGTCGCCGATCTTATTCTTGCCGAGGTTGAGGTCGGTCAACGCCGCGTTGCCGCGCAGCGCCTCGCCGATCGCTGTGGCGCCCTCTTCTCCGATGTTGTTGAAGCAGAGGTTGAGCGTTTTCAGCACCCCGTTGACGGCGAGCGCCTTGCCGATCGCGACGCCGCCCTCGGGGCAGATCTTGTTGCCGCCAATGTTGAGCTCTGTCAGCACCTCGTTGCCGCGCAGCGCCTCGGCGATCGCGGCGGCGCCGGTGGAGCCGATCTCGTTGTCGCGCACATCCAAGGAGGTCAGCACCGCGCTGCCGGAGACGTACTCCGCTAGCACCTTGGCGACCTTCACGTTGATGCGCTCCCCCGAGAGGTCCCATGACTCGACCTTGTTCTCCTTGTTGTCTCGCAGCGCCGCGAAGATCGCGCACCAGCCCTCCGTGCCAAGCGAGTTGCCGCGGAGGTTGATAGTTTTCAGCGCCTCACTGAGCATCACCACGGCGCGCAAGGCCGTCGGCCGGTCGCCGCCGAGCTGCCCGCACAAGTTGAGCGAATCGCTCCCGATACCGGCCGCGCGTTTCAGCCCCTTTGCAAACGGCTCGCCCATCCCCGCGCCGAGCGCAAGCGTGTTCGCCCAGCTGGCTTGCCACTTCCACGGCGGCGCTCCCGAGAGGGTGCCCTCCTCGCAGAGCGCGCGCGCGGCAAAATACTCCTGGAAGGAGAGGTGCGACGACTGCAGCTGCAGCGGCTCCGCCTGCAGCAAGCTGAGCAGCGGCAACTCGTCGCGAGCCACTCGCCTTCGCGCCTCGGCCAGCGCATCGCGCATCGCGGCCGGAAGAGAGTCGCACGCGGACCGCACCTCGGCTGCGCACTCCGCCATTGCGCGCCCGAGATAGGCCGTCTCGTCGAGGCCCGACGAACGCAACTTGCCACCGAGATGCCGCTGCGCCCGTGCCCGCTCCCGAATCGCCTTCAGCGCCTCGGGCCGCTCCAGCCCGAGCGCCGCCTCGTCGAGCTGCCTGTCCTCGATGACTCGCCCCTGCGATACCTGCGCCTCGAAGAAGATGGCCTGCAGCAGCCGGCGCAGCTCGCGCGATGCCGCCCCGCTGCGGGACAGCATCACATCCGATGCCACCTTGTAGAGCTCGGCGACCGTACTGGGCATCGGGAGGCCGGTGCGCAGCTCAAACACCGAGGTAAGCATCGACAGCATCAGCGGGTTGGCCGTGACGCGAAGACCCGTTTCGGCGTCGATCGGCACACGCTCGCGCACGTAGTCGAGCAGCTGCGCCGACCGCCCGTGGCCCAACCGCTGCACCAGCGCCTGCTCTTGCTGCTCCGGCGTGAGCGGCGAGAGGCGGAGCCGGTGGAAGGAGGCGAAACGGACCTCGTCGATGCCCGCGGGCCGGGAAGTGGCAAGTAGCACGTGTCCCTGCGGTGCGAGTACCTCGGTAACGTGCCTCTCAATCTGCTCCCGGTTCGTGCCGCCCTCGTCGAGCCCGTCCAGCAGGAGCAGCGCGCGGCGCGCCATCATTGCCTGCTTCAGCATGCGGTACAGCGGCGACACCTCGCCGTGCTCGAGGCGCAAGTAGGCATCGACCCAATTCCACGCCGTCGCAAACGCGTGAGGTGAGGAGATCAGCCGCTGCTGAAGAAGCTGCACCTTGATTAGGATCGGCACGAGCTCGCTGTCGAGCGAAAGCGCGACTAATTGCGAGAGCAGCGTCGACTTGCCGCTCGCGGGGCCGGCGGTCAGCAGCGTTGCCGGCGGCCGCGTCGCCTCGCCGCCCGCGAGCCGCTCCTGGTGCAACGTGCACAGCCATGCGGCGAAGCTACATGCTTCAACCACCGATGCCAGCTCCGCCCCGCCGCCCACCACCTCGATTGCGACGCACTGCTTCAACGCGTCGAGCCGACGGCCGGAGAGTGCGTCGACAATGTGCGAGTGCTGCGCGCGCAAGGCGTTGGTGTGCCACGCTCGAAGCGCCTCGAACGCGTCGAGGGACATCTCGAGTGGCGCGTGGTTCCATGGGTTAAGCGACGCCGGCCCGCCGTCGAGGTTGCACGCATCCTCCGCCGCCGCTTCACGCCAAGCGCCGTCGGTGGCGCGCACGACGAGCCGCTGTCCCCATGCGAAGCGGCGGGCGCCCACCAACCCGCCCTCCCGCCACGCGGCGACGGCGAGAGCGTCGAGAGCCTTGGGGGAGAGCCGCTCGAGAATCTCGCGCAAGCTATTCATCATGCTTTTCACGTCCTTGGAGGAGAGGCGCTTGAGGCTCTCGCGCCAGCTTTCAATCCATTCGCGAAGCGGAGGCGCCTCCTCGCCAGGCCCTCGAGGCGGGTAATCCGCAACTTTCTTGAGCACCTGGCGAATCTCCATTTCCGCCTGGCGAGCAACCTCCGCAACCACCGGCAGCTTCGCCGCGTCGGCCACGACGTCCATGCTCGCCTCGCCGAGCGCCCGCAGCCCATCTTCCGGAAGCTGATCGTCGCACAGCCGCTGCACTCGCTCGCCCAGCGCTGGCAGCGCAACGAGGTCGCGGTGCAGCGAAGCCTCAGCAGGGCGCCACGGGATTACCGCGTGGCTGAGGCTGTCAAAGGTCAATTCCGCCACACCGCCATCAAAGAGATTACGCGCGGTGCGCTCGCTGGCTTCCACCTCGGCGAGCCACGCTCCGTCGCCGCCGGCGAGGCGCGCGTCGGCACCCGGCAGCAGCAGCAGCAGCTGGCCGTCGGCAAGGCGCAGGGCGTCGGTGGGCGGCGCATCGACAAGCGGCATAGGCGGCACCTCCGCCGCCGTCTCGAGCGTCGTTTGAAGTGCGAGTGTGGACGTCAGCACCGTCGCAACCCGCTCGACGTAGCTCTTGTACAGCTTGGGCACCACCTCCTTGTCGCCCTTGCCGGTGAACGTGGCTTGCTCGATGGTCTCGATCACCCGCTGCACGCGCTGCCAGACATCACTGTGCGACAGCTCCACCGGCTCCGGTGCCCTGCCGCTGGCTAGCGAGAGCAGCTTGGGCGGCAGCTTGCTGAGTTCCGCCTTCATCCGAGGGTAGACGCTGAGCCGCACGAGTAGCTCGCCGCTCACCCCGCCCTCGAAGCAGCACCTGCCACGCGAGGACACCCGTACACCTTTGTAGGGGTGCAATGCGCGGGGGGGGGGGGGGAGGATCGCACCAGCCGCGGCCCTCGTCGCCGTCACGCCCGCCCTCGCCATCGCCGCGGCCATCGTACGAGTGCTCGTTGTACCGCGTGCCGACACCTCCGCACAGCTCAGAGAAGGCGTTCGCCACCATGGCTCGCAGCGCCGCGGCGTGCGTGGTGAAGCGCACGACGCCGTAAGTCAGCTCAAACGTCAGGTCGCAGCTTTCGAACTCGGCTGACAGGTCGCCGCCGCGGAGAGCTTGGCGGACCGCCGCCTCGTCCACCCCGGCCTTGAGGCCGAAAAGGCAAAGAGCGCCGTCAAACTCCTGCGGACGAGGCGCGATCTCCTTGATCTGCAGCACCGTCGTGCCAACCGCGGAGGCGTACACGTCGCCCATGACGCCGAGCGCGCGCTTGAAGGCTTCGTTCTCAGCTGGATTGCGCTGCCCTTTCGGTGGGTGCTGCGCAGCAAAGGGGACCTGTGAGCTCACCACAGCTAAGGCGTGCGGCGTGAGCGGGCGGGTCCGCAGGCTGGCCTGGAAGAGCGAAGCGTAGTCCACGAAGATGGCCTCGATGTGCGTGAGGACTACGAGTGCCTCGCGGAGAATCTTCAGCTTGACGCCCGCCGGGTCCGGATCGCCGGGTGAGTACCAGGGACTGCGGTACGCGCAATTCGGGTGGTTGGTGCGTGCAGTCAGCGGGAGCCGGGGAGTGCGGGGAATGTCCCGAAGGGCATGGGCAGCGCGCACTGGGTAAGGGCACCGATGCTGCGATCGCCACGCTCGAGGAGCGCAGCCGCCTCTTTCGGATCGAGCAGCGGCGACTCGCCTCGACCCTCGCGCTCCTCCAGCACCTGCCTGTACGGCAAGTGCTGGTCGGGAGCCTCGAGAAGCCATGCACGGCGGAGCAGGCGGATGTCACCGCGGATGAACGCCGCTGCCAAGCTCTCGTCGAGCTGCCGGCACGTGTCGACGATGCTCCTCGCAGTTGCGGGGTGGACTTCCACTCCTTCCACCTCAGCGTCGGGGAGGAGGGAGTCGTCGGCCTTGACGTCGCGCGAAGTGCCAAACTCGTCGGAGCCGTCCGGCTTCTCCGCCTGAAAGGCTTGTGCGGAGGTTGCGGTAGCGCCGCTCTTCGGCATCACGTACTACCTTTTGGGCGCCGGTTCTCCGGACAGGTGGCGATGTGCTCAACAGCGGCTTTGCTCAACAGCGGCTTTGCTCAACAGCGGCTTTGCTCAACAGCCTTGCTCGGGGGGCTGTCACGCTCGAATTGAAAAAAACTCTTGGTTTCTTTTTCCAGCACCTGCCAGTCCGTCCCTGCGTACTCCATCTTCAAGGCGGTGCAATTCATTTTTGAGCGGTGTCCTGCAACCGAGCGGAGGGGAGCGCACGCACACTGTGAGTGGGGAAAGGGGGTCGAACGAACGCGACCGCTGTGCGGGTCTCGATTAATTAAGTGGGGCGCGAGGCCAGCGGCAGCAGCAGTTAAGGCGGCGTGCCGAGGGGCGCGCACTAGGGAATGTGGGGCTGACGGCTGCCGTCAGACGGATAAACCGCGCCGAGCAGTGAGAGCAAAAATAGCGAACGCCGACCTGGGAGCGTCTCTGGAACACGGTCGTATGCCGAGTCGAAAAAAAAGACCCCAGCATCCCAGCGTAGAGGGCGCGGTGTGCCCTCTTTTTGGTAAAAAAAGACCTTGTGGTCTTTTAACATCGAAGGCTAGCTCAAAAAAAGAAAAATACCGCGCTAGGGTTGCGCAGCGAACCTGGTTTGTGGACCTCCCACCCTGTCCTGACAGTCCTGACAGAGTCCTGACAGAGTCCTGACAGTGTGACAGAGTCCTGGCGAAGTCCTGATGGCGCACGGTCTTCACAGTGCTCACAAGTGCCTCCGACGAGACTTCCACCTTCCTTCACTGCAACCCTCCTTCCCCTTCCCCCCAGCAGTGAATGATAGGCGCCCAGTCCCCGTTTCGACCCGTGCGCGCCCCTCTGCGGAATCGTCCTGATGGGGCAGTCCTGACGCAAACTTGATAGTCCTGACAAGCAAACTTGATTTTGCTATTTGCTCGTGTGGGGGTATTGCAGCAGATTTGTCAATGGTACCGCGTCTGCGACGCGGGCGCCTTGCGGGCAGAGCCCTTAGCCACCCTTTATGTCTTGCGCGGTCAAGATTCTTTTTACTCGCGCCCCCACCCGCGCCGAGCCAAAGGAGCTCCGCGGAGCCGCCAGGCGCTCGCCCCGGCGATTCACTCGCTCCGCTCGTTCACCGCCGGGGCGGGCGGGGGCGCCTGGCGGCGCCGCTGCGCATCCAAAAATGCTTTAGGCGTACATGGTACATGTACATGCATAGCCGTACCGCGTGCGGTACGGAATTGGTCCTCTGAGTGCGCTTGGGCCTTGGCCTTTGGCCATGTCTCTAAGTATTATTCATGGGGGTGTCACAAAAGACATGACCGACAGCACCCAGCTACTCTACTACTCACCAAGTAAGACCCCCCCTCACAAGCACAGTCAATGTTCAGCGCTCACTCAAGGATTGGCCCAGTGCCGACAGGCGTCTTTCGTCGTCAGCGGCACCGGCCGGACCAAGGCCCGCGCATATGCAGGGATGGTTGTGCTCGCGTTGCACTAGCATTCGTCTAGTGCTGCTGCTGCCGCTGCTGCTGTATCGACTCGGCCATCTCCTGCGGATCGAGCTCGGGGAAGAGGGCGAGCGCAAACTCGTGGTACCTGGCATGCATCGACAACACTCACTCGTGGTAGCTGCAGGAAGACACCGGCGGGGAGAGGAGAGGGCGGCGGACAAGAGAGCGCAGACTCGAGGCCAGACCGCCGCATCTCGGCTGTACCTCGGCTGTGCCTCGGCTGTGCCTCGGCTGTGCCTCGGCTGTATATCGGCTGTACCTCGGCTGTACCTCGGCAGTACCTCGGCAGCATCTCGGCTGTATCTCGTGGCACCGGATCGAGTCGGACTCGTCGTGGTCAAACTGCCGCCAGAGGGAGCGCAGCTTGCGCCCCTCGAGGTTGATTCCCATCCCCGTCGTCACCGCCTGCTCGAAGTCTGGGTACGAGCAAGTGCCTAGTCAAAGGAAGTGCCTGCTCCAAAGGCAGCGGCCAGCCAAACCTCGGGGCAGGCGCAGCTGCCGTCGCGGTCCGAGTCAAAGTCCTCAAACGCCTGCAGCACGTCGTGCAGGCTGCACCTCAGCTTGATCTCCTCGGCGATCAGGGCGAGCTCACGCGCCTACAGCACGACTCAGTGCGCCGATGCATGACTCGCCAGTGACGCAGCAGCGGCCTCCTCGACTCGAGGGGGAGGGGGGGGGGGGTAGGAGGGGGGGGAGGGGGGGGGAGTAGGAGGGCGGCCCGCGCCTCCCAGGCGCGGGAAAAGTTGTTGCCGACGATGGCGAGCGGCATCGCCATCACCGTCAGCCCGGTGATAATCACGAACCTATTGAGTGCGTGTTGCGGCTCGGATTCAACCCTCGTCACCGAGCAAACGAGCCCGGAGAGGTCGTCACGAGCCCCATCAGGATCCTGCCCCCGGCGGTCTGCGGCGAGAAGTCTCCGTACCCGACGGTGGCCATCGTGACGAGGATGAGGTACCAGGCGGTGGGGATGTCGAGGACGCGAGGGCCGTCCCGCTCTGCGTAGGGGTCGTACCTATCGATTGTGAAAGGGGTTCACATGGGCCGCTGCTGGTCGCCGGCGGGAGAGTGCGTGCGGCCGTACTCGAGCGCGAACAGCAGCGTGCCTGAGGGGGGGGAGCGCTTCATTGCTCACGGTGACGGGCGAGGGAGGACAGAGGTGCCGGCACAGGTCGCCGAAGAGTGTGACGAGCGTGAAGAGGAAGTAGATCGGGATGAGGAGGGCGGTGAAGGACTCGGTCAGGGTCTGGCCGAGGATGCGGCAGCCGAGCATGTGCCTGGTCAGCTTGAGGTTAGGGTAAGGGTAAGGGTTAGGGTTAGGGTTAGGGTTAGGGTTAGGGTTAGCGGCATCCGAGCACGTGCCTAGTCAGCTTGAGCAGTCGCAGCGAGGAGAAGGCTGCGCTGAGGTGGAGGAAGGTGCCGCCCGTCGGCTGGTAGTACTGGCCCGGCAGGTACATCTCTAGCGCGGACTCGTAGAAGAGGCCCCCCTCGGGGGTGGAGACGCAGGCGATGCGGAGGATCAGCGGGAGCAGGGCGAGAGCATCGACCCACAGCTCCGAGTCTCGCAGCGGGGTGGGGTAGGTGGCGAGGCGCAGCGCGAGCTCGGCGGTGAACATGGCGGCCAGCACGCAGTTCCAGGCGAAGAGCGGCTCTTCGTACGGCGGCGTGAGGCTGCCGAGGTGCTCCTCGATGGCGGTCGCATTCTCGCCGTAAAGCTCGAGCGCCGACAAGACCTGCTTGGAGTGCTGGTGAGACTCGACGCCGAAGGTGATGATGGAGGCGAACGAGAAGGCGAGGATGAGCAGCGCAAACATCAGCGCGTTGCCGGACGACGTCGGCGAGGCGAGGAACCGGTAGAGCCGGTCGCGGCTCGAGACGCACCCGGCCGCTCTCCGCTCCTGAATGTACGTCTCGACCTTCCAGTTTGTGAGGACGCGCAGCGCCGGCACGGCGCGCTGATTCAGCCGCAGCACCCACTGGAAGTTTAGCCGACCGTGTCGGCGGCGCGACGGCTCTGAAAAGACGATGCTGGCTGTGTTGGGCGCGTTCGCAGATCTGCTCTCCAACGGCTCGGCAGCGCCCTTCTCCTCCGGAGCGAGGCTGGAGGAGGTCCCGCTCGAGGCGCCGCCGGACGTCATGCGACGATCAGGTGTTGCGGCCGCACTTTCAGGTTTTTGGGGGCGAGGGCTGAGTTGCTAGGTGGAATGCTGCTCTGCCAGGGGGGCGACGAACGATAAGAAGGAGAGAGCTGATCGCAGACCGGCGGCTCAATCAAGGAGCGAGCCGTGAGCCGCGGGACGCACGAGTGCCACTCCTGTTACGCTTTCCGGGCTTTTAGAGAGAGAGATTTTTAGCAATACCAAACAACTCTAACACTCACACGTAATTTGGGGCCTGGAGCCCTGTTCACGCGCGCGCGAGACGTGCAGACAGGGTTGCCAGGTGAGAGCGAATGGCGCGGTTCACGCCTCGCACAACAGAGAGAGAGATGCGCTCTGCATGGTGGGACATAAAAGAGAGCGAGTACTTGGGCGAGTAGGCCGTGCGGTCAACGCTGCCGCGCGCGACTTTGCGCGCGAGGCGGCGCAGCTTGAGAACGGCGGTGGGCGAGAAGCCGCCGCCGAACGTCTCGTGGAGCAGCAGGTTGAAGTTGTTGCGCTTGTTGTTTGAGTCTGAGAGAGATTTTTGCTTTTGTTTTGAGTCTGAGAGCTGGTCTGGGGCAAAATCTGAGGCAAAATTGAGGAATCGACAAAATACCCTGGCGGTCGCAGGGTAAATTCCAGGTCTACACGGCTTCTCCGCGAAATTCCCGGCATTTTGCCGATTTGGCCTAAAATTTGGCTGATTTGGGGCCCAAACCAGCCTCAGACTCGGCTCAGAGCCCAAAAATTGACGATTTCCACGCAGTTTTCCCGGGAAAATAGAATTTTACGAAAATAGAAAGAGAGGGTGTTGTGTAGAGAAAAAAGGAAACGGGAAAACAGACGGGGTGCGAGAGGCAAACCTCGTACATCCCAAGACAGGGAGGATGTGGCCCTGAGTCATGTGTACGCCTACTCAGGCCTCAGGGTGTGTGGCAGCCAGCTGGCTGTGTGTCTTGTGAGCCTGTTTTGTGTCTGTGTGTCGCTCATGCGTGTCGTCATCGTCTGTCTAGCGTCCACCCATACCGCGTTGGTGTCCAGACTCCAGTCCGCGAGCCTGGCTGTTCTTCACCTTTCTACCGGGAGGGGCCGCACTTTGCTCGCTACCCCCCCTGCACAACTAAGTTCATCCCTGCTGCTAAGGGGGGGGGGGGTCTGACCCCCCCAGCAGCAGAGCGCTCCTGCTGGGGGGGGGGGTCCCCAACCCTCCCAAGCAACAAGAGACCCGTGGACACCAGTTTTCCAGCTTTATTGCGGCCAGACCCCGCCTATACTTTCTTCGGTTCGTGTATAAAGGGGGACTTGTTCTCCTTCTGGGGGGGGGGGGGTCGCCCATGAGCTAAGTTGTGCAGGGGGGGTAGCGAGCAGAGTGCGGCCGCTCCTGCTCTGCGGCAAGAGCAGTCTTTTCGGAAGATATCGATGATTTTCGAGAGCCACCCGCTTGGGAGCGATTGAGCGCGTCACGGAGGACTCAGGTTACCCCTGAACCTCCTCTGACGGTTCTCGCTCCCCATCGAGCTCTTCTTGCCGTACGGCTCTTCCTGTGTGTGCCGGCACAGAGCTCTGTGCCAGCCGTCCAACGTGATCGTGACGAGTGATCGCTTTGACGGATCGACCGTACTTGTTATCAAGACTGACATGACGTACACAGTGACACATGAGCGGCGGCGATCGGTCCCTAACCTGCGGTCCTTCACCGTAACGGTCCTTCGCCTTCATCCCTAACCCCAAGAAGCACGATTCTCAAGTTGGGCCCTCAGACTGCGGCCGCCAGCGACTGAGTCAGTCTCGCAGGCGGACGGGGAGAACACTGCGCAGGGCCGTCCGAAACACAACTACTACGAAGGGACGTACGGACGTCCATCACTGGGATGAGATCGGGAGATCATGACAGATCTGCCGAATATCTCCCGACTCTAAAAAGCCGCCCGAAGGAGCGCCGCCTCAACACGGGGTCTCGGCTCTATCGAGCCATGCTAGCTCCAGCCGCAGCCCCACCCGGCCGCCCGAGGGTGTTCCCGCAGGCAGAGAAGACTTAGATCCTGGGGGAAGCAACCGGCCGCCGGGGATGCGCCGCGCACTCGCATCGGTTACCTCCATGAACGGCGGAGCTAAGTATTCTCGCGTCCACACCACACCGTCCAACGTACACACACTACTGTGCGAGCCGCCCTGAAGAACACAATCCACTTGACACTCGTCGCGTTTTTTTTCTGCGATCTCAATTTCGTGCATCTGTCTCCGCCTACATCTGCTGCACGCCGCCATGCTCGCCCTCGCTCTTCTCGCGACGCCCTCAACCGCCGCCTCTCGCCCCCGTCCGCGGCGCGGGGGGGCACTCATCGACACGCGCAACCGCACCGACTTCAGCACCAAGCTCGAGACCGACGCGCCGACGCTCGCCCTCGCGGCGTCTGCCTCGCGCAAACCCAACAAGGCCGCGGAGCTCCTGCTCCACCAAGACGTCCTCGGGGGTGGGGGGGCGCTGTTCGGTGCCCGTCCGGACGTCGCCACCTTCCATCCAACCTTCTCCTTCCCGTTCAACATCTCCAAGTTCAGCGGCGCCGCCTCGCGCGCCGCCGCCCCGACCACCGTCAAGCCCATCGGCGCCGCGGCCGACGCCGAGCTCGCCTCCTTTGGCGAGGCTGCCGGCGCGGTCAAGAATGGCGACGTCTCGCTCGCCGACTCCACCGCCAACTCCGTCGGTGTCACGTGCGGCGGCGGCGGCGCCCCTGTGTGGTGCGCGGAGCCGCCGCCGCCGCTCACCGAGCTCTGCGTCTCCGAGGATCCGATAAAGGCCTCGGGCTCCACGAGCAACGAGACGGTCTGCACGACCGCCACGGCCCACTCCAAGGGCGAGGCCGACGAGACGGACACAAAGGTGTGCGACTCTCCGCTCTCTCACACACCGTCTGGCCTCTCTCACGGGGGCACGTGCTCCGCCGCCCTCCCCGCCTTTCAATTTCCGCCGGGGGGTCTTGGCCGCCCCCCATTTTCCCCCCAGCACCCCCTCCCGGCCCCGGCCCCCGCCCCGGCCCCGGCCTTCCCCCAGCGGCCCTCCCCACCTCTTTCCCCGCCCCCTCTTCGGCGGGGGCCACCTCCCTCACCCCTTTCCCCCTCCCAACCCCACACACCATTCCTTGCGGGGGGCCTTCCCCCGCGGCCCCCCCCACCTCCCTAGCCGCCTCTCCCTGTTCCGCCGCCCTCCCCTGGGGGCCGTTTGCCCTCTTTCGCCCCCCTTTCGCCCCGCCCTCGCTCCCCGCTCCCACACCGTGGGCCCCACATGGGGGCCTCCGTTGGGGGCGGTCCCCGCCTCCGCTCCAACTCCCCCCCCCCCCCCCCTCTCACAGAACAAGCCTGTCCCGGGCTCCACGACGGACGAGGCGGACTGCACGACCGCCACGGCACACTCCAACGTCGAGATCGGGATCGGTAAGACCTACCCGACTACCTCCATGAAGCTCAACATCGGCGCCTACGCCGAGCTCGCCCCCTTATTTGACGAGACTTCCGGCGCGACGAAGATCGGCGACCCCTCACTCGAGGAGAGCTTCACGACCGCCACGCCCCTCTCAGAGGTCGATGTGGCCTCGCTGCTCTTCCTCAACCCTTGTGCGGCCGTGCTGGCGCTGCTCCTCGCGGCGTGCCTTGGGCAGGTCAAGAAGAAGAGCGTGGAGCGCAGCAGCCACGCAGAGATCTCCGTACCCTTGCTTTCCAGCACGCGTGCTCTCCGAGTTGGCATTGTGATCCTCTTCTTCCTGCAGGGCGTATGCGGCACCCCACCGTCCCCACCGCCGCCGCTGCCACCGGGTTTCCCTGGCGGCTACTTCATCACCGGCCCGTGCTCGCTCACGGACGGCGGCTGGTGCGCCGCGTCGCCAAACTACCCGAACAGCTACGGCAACAGCGAGGAGTGCACCATCAGCGGTGTGCCGCCGGTCGGGCTGGAGGTGATCGGTTTTGATGTGGAGGCGTACGGCTGCCGCTACGACTATCTCACCGTCAACGGCACAAAGTACTGCGGCACCTCGGGGCCGAGTGGCGCGGTGGCGGAGGACGGCGTCATCGAGTGGCGGTCGGATGGCTACGTAGTCAAGTCGGGCTGGAAGGTGTGCCCCTGGTGCCTCTCGCTCCCCTTCTTTCTCCTCTCTGATGCCCTCCTCCCTCTGCCGTCAGATCTGCTGGGCGACCCGGCCGCCTCCACCGCCATCACCGCCCCAGCTGCCGCCGCTGCCGCCGCTCTCCCCCGGCTATGTCGCCGCGGAGAGCGAGGACCAGCTCCGCAACCTGATCGAGGAGGCTACCCTGATCGAGGAGCCGACGTCTGCCGACGTCTCCATCTACCTGCCGCCCGGTGCAGAGTTCAAGCTGAGCAGCCAGATCAGCTGCACCTCCACCACCAAAGTGACCGTCGCGAGCAGCGGCGAGGGCGCGACGCTCGACGGCAAGCGAGAGACCAGGCTCTTTTACCTCTCGGGCGGCTGCAGCCTCACCCTGCGGGGGCTGACCCTCGTCAACGGGAGGTCGGACTACGGCGGCGTTGTGTACGCAAACGGCGCAGGCGACGTCGAGATCATCGAGTCGACCGTCAGGGACTGCTCGGCTGGCAATGTGCGCCGCGTAAAGCTAGCCGCACCCCTGCAGCGCTGCACTGGTGGCGAGAGGTGAAGAGGGGCCACGGCTGCCTCACCCCGCTCTCTCCTCGCAACCGCAGGACGGCGGCGTCGTCTACGCGTATGAGAACAGCGGTGCGGTCGCGATAATCGGCTCGACCGTGTCGGGCTGCTCTGCTAATGTGCGCCGCGTAGAGCTAGCAGCCTCCCTGCAGCGCCGCACGGCAGCAGGGCGAGAGATGGAGAGGGCCACGGCTGCCTCACCCCGCTCTCTCCTCGCAACCGCAGAACGGCGGCGTCGTCTACTCGGCGAACAGCGGTGCGGTCTCGATAACCGGCTCGACCGTGTCGGGCTGCTCTGCTGATGGCGATTACGGGGTGCGCCGCGTAGAGCTAGCCGCCTCCCTGCAGCGCCGCACGGCAGCAGGGCGAGAGATAGAGAGGGACACGGCAGCCTCACCCCGCTCTCTCCTCGCAACCGCAGTACAGCGGCGTCGTCTACGCGTTTCGCAGCGGTGCGGTCTCGATAAGCGGCTCGAGCGTGTCGGGCTGCTCGGCTGGCGCTGTGCGCCGCGTAGAGCTAGCCGCCCAGTAGCGTCGCACGGCAGCGAGGCGAGAGGTAGAGAGGGCCGGCCTGCCTCACCCCGCCCTCTCCTCAACCGCAGGACGGCGGCGTCGTCTACGCGCTTCAGAACAGCGGTGCGGTCGCGATAATCGGCTCGACCGTGTCGGGCTGCTCTGCTAATGTGCGCCGCGTAGAGCTAGCAGCCTCCCTGCAGCGCCGCACGGCAGCAGGGCGAGAGATGGAGAGGGCCACGGCTGCCTCACCCCGCTCTCTCCTCGCAACCGCAGTGGGGCGGCGTCGTCTACGCGTTTCGCAGCAGTGCGGTCTCGATAAGCGGCTCGAGCGTGTCGGGCTGCTCGGCTCGCGATGTGCGCCGCGTAGAGCTAGCCGCCCAGTAGCGTCGCACGGCAGCGAGGCGAGAGGTAGAGAGGGCCGGCCTGCCTCACCCCGCCCTCTCCTCAACCGCAGAACGGCGGCGTCGTCTCCGCGTATAACAGCGAGTCCCTCTCCATCGCGGGTGTCGACTTCATCAACAACTCGGCTTCAACAGGCTCGGTGCTGTACCTGCAAAACCACGAACAAACCTCCATCAGCAACGCCTCCTTCACTGGCAACGACGGTGTCACGATACATACTCAAAACTCGGAGATAGACTGGGTATGCCGCTTGGGCAGCTGGTTGCCGGCCGAGGGCTCCTTTAAGGGCGACTTCAGTGTCCCCGAGTGCAACCCTTGCTCCGCGGGCTACTATGGGGCAACGACAAACCTCACCGACTCCTCCTGCAGCGGCCAGTGCACCAGGGGCCACTTTTGCAAGGAGGGGACCGCCGACCCCGAGCCCTGCCCGGTCGGCACTCGCATGCCCGCCCTCGGCGCGGCGAGCAGCGAGAGCTGCATCCCGTGCGCTCCGGGCCAGCATCAGCCCCTCGCGGGAGAGGAGGAGTGCCTTCCTTGCGCAGCGGGCAGCTTCTCTCCCGACGTCGGCCTCTCCGCCTGCGACCCTTGCCCGCGCGGCGGCTACTGCGAGGAGGCGGGCGCCGCCACACGCATGGTCTGGGAGCCCTGCCCCGCCGGCAGCTTCAACCCGGCCAACGGCTCCAACTCGAGCGCCGCGTGCGAGCTCTGCCCCGCCGGCACCGCGAGCGCAACGCGGGGCGCGGAAAGCAGCGAGACGTGCGCGCCGTGTCGGCCGGGCACCGTCGCCGCCACGGCGGGCCTTCCCGAGTGCGCCAGCTGCGTCGGTGGGACCTACCAGAACGACACAGGCGCGACGTCCTGCCGCGAATGCGAGGCGGGACGCTACTGCGCCAAGGGCGCATCGGCGCCGCTGCCTTGCGACGCGGGTACCTACTCGGACAAGGCGGACCTCACCGACGCCTCGCAGTGCACCGACGCCTCGCCGGGCCACTTCGCCACCACGGGCTCGACGCAGCAGACGGCGTGCGCCAAGGGAAGCTACGCCGCCACGGCCGGCCTCTCCGAGTGCGCGCTGTGCGCTGGCGGGACCTACCAGAACGACACGGGCGCGACGTCCTGCCTCGACTGCGAGCAGGGCAGCTACTGCGAGCCGGGCGCGTCGAGGCCGCTGCCGTGCGAGGGCGGTTCCTCCTCGAACAGGACGGACCTGTCGGCCGCCTCGCAGTGCACGCCCGCCGCTCCGGGCCACATCGCCGCCCGGGGCGCCACCGAGCAGACGGCGTGCGGCGAGGGCAGCTTCGCGAGCGGCACGCGCAACGAGGTCTGTGAGCTGTGCGCCGAGGGCTCCTACCAGGGCGCGACCGGCGCCAGCGAGTGCACCGACGCCACGCCGGGCCACTTCGCCACCACGGGCTCCACGCAGCAGACGCCGTGCGCTCCGGGTAGCGTCGCCTCTTCGGCCAACATGCCCGCTTGCGAGCTCTGCCCTATCGGCCACTACGCAGCCTCCGGCACCGCTTGCGAGGAGTGCGAGGCGGGCACCTACGCGGCGAGCGAGGGCCTCTCGCAGTGCACTCTCTGCCCCCACCCCCTCAGCTCCAAGAGCGGCGACGTCACCTGCTCCATCTGCAAGGAGGGCTTCTACCTGCTCCAGAGCGCCGACCCAGGGGACATCTTCAAATCCCCGACCGAATACTGCAAACCTTGCCCGCCGAACGCGGACTGTCCGGACAACACTACCCTTTCTTCCCTCGTCCTCCCGCCCGGCTTCTGGCGCGCCAGCCCCTCCTCCGCCGTGCTGACAGAGTGCCGCGTCTTTGGCGGCAATGCCAATGCCGGCAAGACGCGGTGCGCCGGCAGCGAGCCGGTGGCGAGAGGCCGGAGGATGGTGGAGGCGGGCTCAGAGTACTGCGCTTCGGACTTCAAAGGACCCGAGTGCCAGCTCTGCGCCGCAGAGAACCAGTACCTCGTCGATGGCGTCAACTGCAAGGAGTGCGCTCCGCGCGGCGCGGCGGCGGGCCGCATCGCCGGCCTCGTCCTCGGCCTCTGCGTCGCGTGCGGCTTGGCGGCGTGGGCCTACCACATGCCGTGGCGGAAGGAGCGCATCATCGGGCCTATCCTCCGCTTTGCAGACCGCTCCGTCAAGTACTACGTCGGGGGCGGAATGACGGCAAAGCTCAAGATCTTGTTTGGCTTCTATCAGATCTGCACCGTCCTCTCCTCCACCTACTCCGCGCGGCTGCCGGACAAGTACACGGGCTGGACGGACAACTTGGCCAACGTGATCTCCATCGACTGGTCTGGCTTTTTCCTGCCGGAGCAGTGCCTCGGCTACGCTCTGCGGCTCCTCGCCATCGCCCTCTCCCCCGTCGCCCTCATCGCCTTGCTCATGATCGCGGGGATAAGTCTGCGGCTCTACCGCTGGCGCGCCGCCCCGGCGCCGCGCGAGAGGCCGTGGTACGCGGAGGCGGCCCTCGGCCTCCTCGACCTCACGCCGGCCGGTTTGGTGCTCATCTTCTGCTTCGTGCCCTCCATCAGCGCCTCCATCTTCCGCTCCTGGTCGTGCCAGGCGCCCTCTCACAGCTGATGACTGCCGTTGCTCACAACACCACACCCCTCAGTCCTCGTAAGTTTCTGCTGATAGGCCTACACCATCTCTCCGCCCGGCGAGGAGCTAGAGCAGGTCTCCTACATGCGGCAGGACGCGAGCGTCGAGTGCGGCTCCGACGATCACGGACCCATCACCGCCCTCGCCACCGGCTTCATCGTCCTCTGGCCCGCCGGCTCGCTGGTCCTCTTCACGTCGCTCCTCGCCGCTTGCTACAAGCCGCTGCAGGCCAAGACGCCGAATGCTCTGACGCGGGCCACCGCCTTCCTCCACCGGGAGTACGAGACGACCTGGTACTGGTGGGAGGCGGTCGAGCTGGCGCGCAAGCTCGTGCTGACTGGCTTCGTGCTTCTGATCCCGGAGGAGCGCGCCTTTGTTCGCCTCGTGGTGGCGACGCTCATCTGCTCATGCTACGCCGTCGCACTCGCCGTCGTGCGGCCGTACAAGCGGGTCGAGGACAACGTGCTCGCCGTCGCCACGAGCCTCGTGCTCCTCCTCCTCTTCCTCGGCACCAACTGGAGCACCATCTTCCTCGGCATCCAGGAGCGGTACCAGGGAGTAGATCCCGCCGATGTCCTCGGCTTCCGCAGCCTCAATGTGATTGTCGACTCGATGATCATCCTCGTTGCAGTCGTGCTCGCCTTCTTCCTCGTCGGCGCCATCATCGCCGCCCGTCGCGTCGCCAAGATCCCCACGATCCGACTCGTCTCGACCAAGCAGCCCCCCGAGCTGAGCATCGTGAGGGGCCTCACGTGGCACCTCTTCAACAGCCACATCTGGTGAGTCACGGCTATGGAGGGAGAGAGGGAGCGAAAACAGCCGGCGTGACCCCCGTCCCTCACCCAAACGAATAGGTCGACCGGTCAAGACGCCGTCAAGGTCATCAAGGGTGAGCTCGAGCAGCTGCTGCCGGACATCAAAGTCTTTCTCGACGTGCGCACATGCTCATCAGCGCTGCTTAAGCTACACACAGAGCCCCCCTGACGCACCGCGGTGTGCTCATAGGTAGATGATCTCAAGGATATCGGGGCGCTGGAGGAGTACATCCAGAGCTCGCAGGTCATCCTCTTCTTCCTCTCGCAGGGCTACTTCCGCTCCAAGGCTCGCCTCTTCCTCCCACCCCGCCCCTCTACCGCACCCTGGCCCCAAGATCTGCCGCCTCGCCCGCGCCACAGAACTGCCTCCGAGAGGTCCGCTCGTCGCTCGAGAAGGACAAGCCGCTCGTCCTCGTCCAAGAAGCGGACCCTGAAAAGGGCGGCGGGACGCTCCAGGCGCTGCGCGACGAGTGCCCCGAGGACCTGCAGCCGGCCATCTTTGACAACGACTGGCCGCTCACGATTTGGTATCGCATCGATGAGTTTCAGCTCATCTCGCTCAAGATCATCGCCGAGGCGCCGCCGGCCACAGCCAGCTCCGTTCTCTCACTCTACCTCCCGGCCAACCCCACTTGAACCAACCTAGGCGGTGCTCCTCTGCTCGCCCAACTTTCTGGACAGGACCTCCCTTCCGCTCTGCGTGTCGGGTGAGCTCGAGAGCCAGTCGCTCGCCTTTTCCAAACCGTGCACGCTCTGGGCCTCGCCAGCCAACGCGGGGTCGCTGGCGCTGGCCGATGAGATCGCCGCCGCCTTTGCCCCAGATCGTGAGACCGCCGGTCTCACGATCTGCACCACCGATGATCGGCCGGCCAGCGCGACGCACTTGCTGCTCTACCTCAACGAGGACAGCTTCGTCAGCGACGAGCGGCTGGCCGAGCAGGTCAAGCAGGCGCGGGAGGACAAGCTGAAGATCGTCATGGCGCACGAGAACGACCCCGCGCTCGGCGGCTGCCAGTTCTCGAGGTTTTTCGAAGTCACGCCGCAGGAGCGAATGTCTCAACGTGGCGCCTGTCCCGCCACCCCTCCTCCCCAACCCTCTCCCCCCCCAACGCCGCAGGAGCTCATCGCCGGCGGACTCTACAAGGACCTGGCAAAATCCTGCTTCCCCGGCCACCACCGCAAGGCGCGCGCCCTCTCTCCCACAGCGAGCTCTCCCCCGCATCGAGCGTTTCGTGACGAGGGGCGGGTCCCTGCCCGCAGGTGTCGCTCGTCCTTCTGGCAAAGAGCCTAGGCGCGACCCCTGCTCGGTCGCGGGCGGGCCTCTTCGCTTCAGGCAGCGTCGTTGAGGGCAGCACCAGTCTCGCGATGCGCAGCCTTGGCGGACTCAGCCGGGTGTTCGCCAAGATGAGCAGCCGCAGCTCTGCGGAGGCGCGCGAGGTCTCTGGAGGCGAGGCGTCGTCGGTGCAGCAGCAGGTCTGATCGGTTGCGCGATGTCGTGCGCAAAACGTGCGGCGCGGCGATGACCTGCAAACACGGGACGATTAGTAGAGCTAGCTCGCACATGGAGCATCCGTGGGATGTTGTGCGCGGCATTCATGTTGCGTTGGAGGGAGGGGGGAGAGGGGGGGGAGTCACATGTACAACATGTACATGTGCATGTGCACGGGCAGTCCGGATGGAGATTTTATGATTTGCGTCGTGGGACGTGGGGTTCCACTTCCAGCTCTTTCGTCCTGCGCGGCCGCGAGGGTAGAGCCGTATCGTGGTGACTGGTGTGGTGCCACTGCGCGCCAGTCCCGTGCCTAGTTTTTTGAGAGAAAATTCTTTTGTATTCGCGTTAAGGGGGGGTGGGGGGCATCCAG